GGAAGCAACGTTCACACGTTGGAAACGATGATCATCGGAGAGTTCGTGAGGCACCCAAGCACCTTATTTATGGAGTTTTCCCATATTTCTTCGATTTTTACGTATTGTTTCATGATAGACATGCAATTTCAGGGCCATTTCACGAGTGTGTTGTCTTGGGTTAAACTCAACAAGCGCCTTCGGAGCATCAATATCAATTCCAACATGTCGGCCCCTGCCATCATAGTTTTTAAGGCTAAAGTCACATGAACAAAATTAGCTGAACCATCGTTGACACTTAGGAACGTTCAAAACATTTTCATAAACTTCTTTGGTAGTATTTGTAGTTACAGAGGTGTTGTTTCTGTTCTTGTATTCAAACAACATTACATGCCAAATGTTTGTCTCGTCTTGTGCCATAACTATAAGGGATTAAAGTGTTCTAAACTCTACACATTATATAGGCTACACTAACGTGATATTTTTTGGTTGTGGTTAATGAAAGTGTTCCAAAACGCGACATTAATTTCTTCACGACCTAATATTATAAAATTCTTCTTTTTAATTCTACAATTCTAATTTTTGCTTCGGATTAAGATCTAAGCTAATTTCTGACGAACTTCGTTGTAAGTCCGCAGACATACCGCTGTGCCACTGGGTTTGGAAGTTTTCCTCCACCCACCATATTCTCCACTGGTCAGCTGTAAACCGCTAATGTTGAAACAAAGTAAAAAGAGCACAGTGCATTAAAAAATCGAAATACAAACGTTATTAGCGTTACGCTTGTAGGTTCGTGATGGCGTCAAAATTGGATGGGAAAACAAAATGATTGTATTATATATCATCTCATAATATTTAAACACAACGTTAGGTATCTATAAAACTGTAATAAACGGTTATTCTCTCCAATTTAACCTTGAATCACTACGTGAACTAAAATTCGGAAACTACTTTATACAGCAATCACTACGTGCACTAAAATTCGGAAACTACGTACACTAAAGTTGGGAAACTACTTTATACAACAACCACTACGTGCACTAAAGTTAGAAAACTACTTTATACAGCAATCACTACGTGCACTAAAATTCGGAAACTACTTTATACAGCAATCACTACGTGCACTAAAATTCGGAACTACGTACACTAAAGTTAGGAAACTACTTTATACAGCAATCACTACGTGCACTAAAGTTCGGAAACTACGTACACTAAAGTTAGGAAACTACGTACACTAAAGTTAGGAAACTACTTTATACAGCAATCACTACGTGCACTAAAATTCGGAAACTACGTACACTAAAGTTAGGAAACTACTTTATACAGCAATCACTACGTGCACTTAAGTTAGGAAACTGCTTTATAGAGCAATCCTAATTTAGCTTTGAACAACTGCGTGTACTAACGTTAGCAAGTAATATATAAGGCATAAAGTAAATCAGTATTGACGATAGATATTTTCAACCTAAACGGCCTGTACATGGAGCAAATGGACAGGTAAGAGACCCATAGGGTTTAGATATAATCGTCACTTATTATGAATTACTGATCAGAGTGAAGGCAGTCAGTCAGCAGCACTCGTCACCACACAGCCTTGCCCAGCTCTTTATTACGAACAATAGGATGGACCGTCACGTTCGTGATGTGCCCATACCTAAAAGCGCGGAACATGTTCAGCGGCATCATATCTCGAACCTTGCACCCTCCTTTCCGCTGTCTCACGTGATATATAATAGGCTACATCTAGCCCATTCAAAGTAAAGGGATAACATCTAATGAAAAAATACAGGTAAAGCTAACACTTTTCGTTACCTTTTATACTGAAATTTAAAATATAAAGAAGTTCTTACAAACGAGTATACACGCTGAAAGAGCCTTCCATATTTCCCTTCAACTTATATTTTAAAGTTCAAAAATCCGATATGCTTCTTCTTTGCTAAAAGAGCAGATGTTACAGACATTTTCCAGCCACGTGTCGAATATTTCTTTATACACACACAAACGAGAAACACCAAGCTGACTTTTACAGCTGTATTTGCAAATAAATACATTAGGTGCTAACAGCGGAAACTCTTCTCGTTGAAACACATTAGACATTAAAATCATATATCTGTTCCTAGTTGATAAATTGATATTTTTACAATTGTATCAACTTGTAGAAGTAATCTTGATAAAACTATTAGTGAGGGTTTGTAATTGTGTAAAATTATTTACATACGCATGAAATAACATCCAATGAATGTATCAATACGACTTACAAGTAATAATTAAAGTAATCGTTGAGAACATCTATATTTACAAAACGTGACAATGATCATTAACATTTCAGAAAGATGGTTCAAATCGTTTCCTATGGCAATGTGCCATAATACGTCAAAACAGTAGAAAAGATATAAAAAATAAAATCACTTGAGATTAAAGGCTGCTCTTTTTTGTCATTGTGATGACCTTTAGGTCAGTAGAATAAAGAATAGTCAATCCTAAAATAAAATAATAAACAAAACTCAGAGAGTCGTGGGAAATAATATTCATTCGCTGTCGCTGACAGTGGATCATGAACACATCAAGTTAATTCAGAAAACAAGAGTAAAACACCAAAAAACATTAGTCGAAAGTTGATACATTGCCACCGAAGTAACCATAAATACTTAATGAAAAGTATGTGAGCAAGATAAAAAACAAAACTGAAGTAGAAGGTTAAAATTTGTCACTGACAGTGGACCAGGAAAACCTTAAGTCAATAAAATAAGCTTTATAATATCAGTATAATACAGAATCAATAAGATGTAATGATTACCGAAGGAAGAACAAAAATGACTCTAGGGTAAGTTCCTGGGTGCATATTCCATCGAGCTACTCTCGAAGTACAAATTGTTTACCCTGGTGGACGAATATTCTACTTTCAGCGGTCAAGAACTGAAGGTCACTAATCTCGGAGTTCTGCATTAACCAGCATCCGCTGAAAAGCAGAATTCGAGAGTAATACCTGAAGACAAGTAAGTTTGAAGCACCCTTTATTTTGTGGCGCAAATGATTTAATAATTCATGATATGAAAACATGCAAAGAAGTTTAGGGAAGCAGAAAAAAAAAATGTTTTCGTAAATTCTACCGTTGTGGTTTCACCGTTACTTCAAACCTGTTGTAGGCTTAAGTATAATAGCGGAGTGAGTAACCTGGGGTAATCTTCAATAAGCTGCAGGTATGTGTAGGTTCTTACAGATCAATAAAAGAACATAGCCATCGAAAAAAGGAGAAAATGCACAGCATTGGAAGATCTGTTTAATTTCTTTCTGTTACTCTTTTGCACGCATGTGCTCCTAAGGTTTGGAATAGAATACCAAAACTACAATTCTAATGTCGATGTTAAGGTGCACAATGGGTGATTTTCTAATTACCTTGAAGGCCTGATTGTTTATTGACTTTCGTGAAAAAATACTCTTGAGCTATCCATGCTAGCCGTCCATAATTTTGAAGAGACAGATGAGAGGAAAGGCAGCTCGTCAACACCACTCACCGCCAACTTAACGGCTATTATTTACCAACGAATAAGTGAGATATTGACCGTCACATTAGAACACCTCCACAGCTGAACGGGCCAGCATGTTCGGCGACAGATTTCGATCCCGCAACACACTGATTGTGAGTCGAGCGTCTCAACCATCAAGCCATGTGAAGCCCTGTCTTGTAGGACTCGTTTATGCATATCCAAAAGTTTATATCGTTTGTCAAGCTACTTTTCTCTCAATTCCTTTATATATTTATTGGTGTTATCACATGATAAAGTATTGAAGATAATAATATTCAAGACTAACACATCTAAGAAACGTGTATTTTTTATGGGTGAACATAAAACACAAACATGAGTTTATCATGAACTTCCAGCACTCCCTATTTTCTTCGCCTTTGGCTTGAATTAAACCCTTGTAAACGTTAATTTCATTACAATGCACAAAGTAATCATTTCAAAATTCCTTCGAAACCGAATTACTTTTTTGTGCTAATATTTAAACAAAAAATTAGCGAGAGTAGCGATCCAAATTACGTTCCATACTATCGTTAATAGAAAGAGATTTAAATAAAATTTAGGTTGCGCTATAATAGGCCCGGCATGACTAGGTGGTTAGGGCGCTCGACTCACAATCGACGGGTCGCGAATCTCCGTCACACCAAACATGCTCGCCTTTTCACGTTATAATGTGACGGTCAATCCCACTATTCGTTGGTAAAAGAGTAGCCCAAGAGTTGGCGGTGGGTGGTGATGACTAGCTGCCTTACACTACTAAATTAGGGACGGCTAGCGCAGATAGCCCTCGTGTAGCTTTGCGCGAAATTCAAAACAAACAAGCTCTATAATAATATACGATCTCATATTTATGTATTTTCTTTTCTATCTTTACAATTAATAATTGTTTTATAAAAGTAACAATTACATAACGACATCCACCTTTCTATCACAGTAACGCATTAATGATTGGAAAAGTCAGTGAGATTTTAAATTATCACCGGTTACTTATTTCGTTTTACCAAATAAGCTTTATAATATCAATACGTCAACAAATAAAATAATGAAATCATCAACGATTTTATAATGAAAAATAAATCCAAACAATGATACCGTTCCAGGAATTAGAAAGATGGTTTCAAGAATACAATGGATCAGAGGCGTCGCTAAGGCACTGGCACACAGGGCGCGTGCCCTGTTTCTTCTTCACAGTGTCCCGAATACCCAGTTGGAGTCTTGAAAAATCAGAATAGAAAACTATGATCGATATCATGTTGAAACGTCGAAAATTCAAGCACCTATAGGCCCGAGCCCCGAATCTTTTAAGCACCTAGCGACGCCTCTGCAATAGATTCACGTGCTTAGAAGAAATAATACGTAACAAAACTGTACAGTTTCGCCGATGTCGTCATTAACATAAAGAGAGCACACACATAGACAAGTGTAATAATCACTTATAGATACATAGATCATATATTAAAGAACTTTATGTGCAAATAAAAACGGAACATGTCCTACCTTTTTTCAACTATGTACTCAGTTGCTACATCTGTAAAATATTTTGAATGCGCCACTGTTTACACTACACTAGTCTCTGTACCACACTTCCTTTCGCATCTCTATGCGTAATTCTCAATCAGGTTTATTATGAGATGATGGAAGAAAAACGATGTATTTGTGGACGTAACCTTCGCACGTTAGCCTAGCTGTGCTTTATAGGTAGTGTTTATGTAATCTTCGAATCTATTTCGAACTGAAAACTTGAAAATCAATCATTTGATTTGCTTACTACTAAAAGAAGTATCGATATGAACTTTAGTTTATAAAGAAAACGCACTTTTATCTCACTATACCGTCAACCATGGCATTTCGTTCCATCGACGACTTGGTAAAAATTTTTGTATGCTTTCAGATGCTCTCGCGAGAGGGCGAGATGAGCAGCATACAGATGGAAGCACCATACAACTTAACGAAGCAGTTCATCCGACTGTTCCTAAAAAAAAGTAAATACCGTGTTTACGTATATCCAAAATGCCGAATGGTTGATAAAAAAGGGGCATAAGGTAGCGCATTTCTATCGCTAAGCTACTTTTACATGAAAACAAATAAGTGGTCAAATTCTACTAGTAGCGCTAATAATACAATAATATCAGTGTATTTATTCAGTTACTTGCAATATATGTTGCAAATACAGTGAATAACAAATTTAGACACTTAAGAGACTGAGGTGTATCTTTAATATTTTCAAAACAATTCTAATAAGCAGATAAAGTTAATAGTTTGTCATTATGAATATTTTTTGAACAGTTACTAATTTGCTGATCCTAGAATGCGTGTTTTTAATTACAAACAACAAACTTTAATATTATGATATAAAGAAATTGAATTAACTTACTTTTTTCTAAGTATCGCCCCCCCCCCCAGTGGCATAGCGGTATGTCTGCGGACTTACAACGCTATAAACCGGGTTTCGATACCCGCGGTGGGCAGAGCACAGATAGCCTATTGTGTAGCTTTGTGCACAACTACAAACAAACTTCTAAATAGTATTGTAATTTTTGTGTCATCGTATTTCGATATTACTTGTTTACTTGGATATTCTTACTGCATTATTCTGCTGTAAATTAATTTAACTAAATCTGATCAAAACTTACTTGACAATATATATATATATTGTGAGTTAAATCTACATCTGATCAAAACTTACCTGCTAATACATTTATTGTGAGTTAAATCTACATCTGGTGAAACTTACCTTACAATTTACTTGCTCTGAGCTAAGATACGTCTTATCCATACAAGTTTGGTAATAGTTCTATATGGAGATGTTCATTTTTAAACATCTTTATTACTTGTTTTGAATAATAGAATGAGAAAAGCATTTACAATGTGCATTGTAGAGGGTTGAGATTTATGTGCTTAAAATCGTGCTGTACTGTATGCATTTGTTATATGTATATCTATTGTTGCGTCATCGAGATCACGTGACTATTCCCACGCCCTCTACTTTCTAGAACTATCCTGTACTTTGGCGAATGCTCTAGCATTTACTAGATATAGGGTAGTCTGGTATATAAAAGAGGGTGACAACGTGACGGTAATGTAATGTGTATGTAGACAGTGAGTAATTGATCTGCAGTCAGATAGTATTATTGAAGCTGAGCACGTTCGTTGATATAGCGTTTGTTATAGAGCGATTGTTGAAAATAAGTGTATCGTAAAGTTATATTCGGAAAGAATAAACCAGTTTTATTAAGAACTTAAGATACAAGTGAAGCAAGCACACCCCTCTACCATGCAGGATGCAATGGCCAGAGCTCTC